TTTTTTTTTTTTTTTTAAAAAAAAAAAAAAAAAAGATTCACCCAAATGGTGTAAAAAATTTTCTATAGATCTACTAAATAGGAAATATAATATAATAGAATGGTACAACAATATGAGACCAAAACTTTATTAATATATCATTGACCATTGTGACGCTAATTACTATTACTAAACTAACAGCAGATAGAGACCACCTGACACCATCTGATGGTAAACTAACCCTATTTAGGTGTCAGCTAAAGCGGAGTTAATTCAATATATGATCTACATGCTGCATAAATTACATTCTTGATACCTATATAACCCACTAACCATAAATGCGTCAAAAGGTAACCCTAAACTTCACTCCGCTTTAGCCGACCACCCTATTTAGTAAATTGAGTGTAAATCATTAGTAATAATTCGGATTGAAGCTAAACTATTCATTTCGTATGTACTCCCAACTAGCTGCAAAGAAAATGAATCACTACTATATCACATAGAGAAGTAGCCTGTCTGTACGCCACTTTTGAAGGTATTTATTATTGAAACGTAAACTCTGCTATATTATCAGCTGATAATAAAACGTTACACAGTCTGATCAAAAATTGGATTGGTTGGCTTTTTTACCTATCCAATCCAATTTTTGATCAAACTATGTTTGTAACGTTTATGCAGCCTTCATTACACGACAGTGCAGAAAATTTTAAAACCTCAATCTCCATGTTAAGATGATGCATAAACTAGTAGCTCATTGAGAATAAAGTTCTTAAATTATCAATCTCAATAGAATAATGGCATAGAAATAATACGCCAAGAATAATATGTACGTACTTAATAGGTGCTATTTTATGCATACAGTGAAACTTCTATATAAAGTTATTGTGGTTTTAAAATTTTCTGCACTGTCGTGTAATGAAGGCTGCATAAACGTTACAAACATAGTTTGATCAAAAATTGGATTGGATAGGTAAAAAAGCCAACCAATCCAATTTTTGATCAGACTGTGTAACGTTTTATTATCAGCTGATAATATAGCAGAGTTTACGTTTCAATAATAAATACCTTCAAAAGTGGCGTACAGACAGGCTACTTCTCTATGTGATATAGTAGTGATTCATTTTCTTTGCAGCTAGTTGGGAGTACATACGAAATGAATAGTTTAGCTTCAATCCGAATTATTACTAATGATTTACACTCAATTTACTAAATAGGGTGGTCGGCTAAAGCGGAGTGAAGTTTAGGGTTACCTTTTGACGCATTTATGGTTAGTGGGTTATATAGGTATCAAGAATGTAATTTATGCAGCATGTAGATCATATATTGAATTAACTCCGCTTTAGCTGACACCTAAATAGGGTTAGTTTACCATCAGATGGTGTCAGGTGGTCTCTATCTGCTGTTAGTTTAGTAATAGTAATTAGCGTCACAATGGTCAATGATATATTAATAAAGTTTTGGTCTCATATTGTTGTACCATTCTATTATATTATATTTCCTATTTAGTAGATCTATAGAAAATTTTTTACACCATTTGGGTGAATCTTTTTTTTTTTTTTTTTTAAAAAAAAAAAAAAAAGAGAGGCGGCCTCGGTCTTTATTGAATAATTATGTTTTACATTGTTAGAATTAATTACATAATTCATTACTAGGACTGGGTGAATCCTTTTAAAGGACGATCTTCGCAATATGTATTATGTACGTACGTATTACGTTGGGGTGGTAAATCAATTAAGTAAATCAAAACTATGTGAGCAGACTATGGAATTTGATACATTACAGATTTTCACGTTACACGAATGAAATCAATTATTGTATCGATACGTATCAATTTAACGTTAATTACTGCTAATATATTTATTAAATTTAATTACTTTAAAACGATGCAACTTATTGAATACCCGAAGAATTACCTTGAAATTTTCACAAGTAACTTATTAAGTGTTGGAGAATAAAGTTACGCTTTTGGATTTTCTATTAACATATAAATTTGAACATTTGTCTTATATAATTTAAATTTCATTACTTAAAGTAAAAAAAAAATTAGAATTTAAATATACAAGTCGAAACTTTAATAAATTTTTTGCAATAAATTGAGCGTAACTTTTTAGAGATGACTTCTGTGAAGAGTTTTCAATTAAAAGAAATTAGAAAAAGAAGTGCAATGTCAAGATGCGTTCTTTAAAAATTGTGCATTATTTATTAATTAAATATATATCAATATGATATTTAATCGATTATTTTAATTTTGCTGATTAAGATCTGATTATAATAAAATCACTAATATTGCTAATATAGTTTTGATTTACTTAGTTGATTTACCACCCCAGTATTACGTAGTACGTTGTGTACTGTACATTACGTACGTATGTAATTGCACTAACGCTATAGTTTATAGTCACAGGGTTTACTATAATCAGACTTTTATATTGCTATATCTATATCTAATACTGTAATATATAGCGAGAAGTTTCGAGCTACCCTGTATGAATTTACTAATCTCTAATAGTATATAGCGAGAAGTTTCGAGCTACCCTGTATGAATTTACTAAATCGAGATAAAATCATCAATTAATTGCCCCTGCAATGTTAGTTCATGTCAGATCACTGCTACTTTTAGATACAGCTTGGAGAGAAGCTTTTGAATTCTTATTATCGATTTCTCTAAGCCATATAAACATAAACATAAAACATAGGGCTTTTTCTTAAAAATAATGTGTTATATGTTGTTAAATCTTCCAAAACCACCCTGTCAATATCAATAACCATCTAATCCATAAAGGATTGACATACCAAGTCTATTTCCACTATACTATTTAACTTCCCAAAACCAATCGTTAATCTATCCAATTCGATATCGGGACACTTTAAGAACAGTTAACCCAGTGATCAATGATCACATGATAAACGTACCATGACGTCATTTGTTTACCAGAATTAATCAGACTTGCCTAAACTATATCCTTAACCTAACCTCTAAACTAACCCTAACTTAGCCTGAATGATTATCATGTGATATTGTGATGATCACTGGGTTAACTCTTCTTAAAACTTCTCTTCATTATCTTGTATATAATTTTATTTTGGGTCTGTGTACTTTAATATTTTTGATTGGCCATATCCAAAAACTGTGACCAGAGTGTGGGAATTTGGTTTGTGCATTTCAATGTTTTTTATCTATCTATCTATCTATAATTTAAGCGAGAATTAACATTTTTGATTGTCTATTACGAGATATAAAATTCAGGTAATTGGATTTCACTATGCAATTATGATATAATTACTGAATTATTAGACTATAACTATGCAATTATGAATTATAACTGAGAGAAATTTAAGCAAGAGCTGTATATTTTAATATTTTTGATTAGTCATTACAAGTTATGATATTTAGGTGATTTGATAAGTACTTGTTATTGGTTATATTGTGAATAATAACTGATTATTTGTTAGGTTATTATGTAAATTTCATGGTTTAGCTATGTGATTTATATAATCTCTATGAATAATCAGTTTTTATTACAATTTAACTAATAACATGGTTATCCATAATGTCTGATATAAGCACTGTCATTTTTTATATAAATTATTTGATCACTTTCTAATCATATATATTTGCTTTCGATTACTTTACATTTACTTACCTTTGTTTACTTTTATGTATTTTCATTTACTTTACTTTATTTACATACTTTCGCTTACTTTTACTTTTATTTACTTATTTTCGCTCACTTTTCTTATTTTTGTTTATTTATTTTTTACTTTCACTTACTTGTTTATGCTTTCATTTATATTTAATTTTTTACTTTGTTCTTTTGCTTAATTTTTTTTATATTCATTTACATTACTAATAAGAATTTTATATGAGCTTCACAACTACCCACTCAGAAAAAAATTGATTAATTACAAAGAGAATCATTCATTTCTAATACTGAAAAAAATACTTTTGGATGTTTATGAGTTGTAGATTGATTTAACAAAAGCTGTAGATTCTCTAAGTCTATTGAATTAATTGATTCTTTAGAAAAACTTGAAACTTATCTCTGCCAATTTATAACATGGTTGAAGAAAGAAGACAGTTTTGATTAAATCAGTCTATAATTATTACAAACCGATCAACTAATACCTTAAGGATCATAGTGTTATTCAACTGATAAAGATTGTTGACCAATATAAATTTCTTCATACTCTCCAAATATTAAATGGAAAAATGTGCATTTTACAAAATAAAGAATTGGGTAATACAAAAAATCTAACAGACTTTTAATAGAAGAAATCTAACAAATACTTGATCATTCTTATATAGATACTAATACAAATGGATTGCTTCTTCCTTGAGTTTTTTTTTGGTTATATCTGTTATATAGGCTGCAAGATGGAGATGTATATAGAATTTTCAAAAAAGATATTGAATATTGTCATGATGGAGGTTTAGAACTTGTACTATACAAAAAAAAATAATCAGGATAGAGTTTTTTTTAGAAATAAGCATAGAAAAACTGGTTCATAACATATTCCTTTACCACTAGACTCATCAAGTAATAAATATATGCTGGTAAAGGATATCCTCCTTTATTTGTCTAAATTATCTGATTTAATATTAGTTGATTTATTATTTCATAAAACATTCAAGAGCCAAAAAGGTATATATATTTATCAATTAATATGTAATATATAAACCTAAATTTAATTTTCACTAACAATTATTGTAAGATCTTAAAAAAGATTGCTGATACAAATGTATTTCTATGGGTTACAGAAAACTTAGAAAAATGATGAATACCATTGCTACAAATATGGGTACCAAACTTGATAATGAATAATTAATTACAAATCATTTATGCTGTTGTCTGCAATTCAATTATTAAAAAATTAAGGTCTTCTGATTCTGATTTACAATCATTTTCAGATCATCAGTCATGTGAGAGTTTAGCTAATTATTGTCAAACCAGTAATAATCAATGCATTTTAAACACCTATATTAATTCTCTTTTCTTCTCAAGAATTGAACTTAAATGAATATGATTACTCTGACATAGTTTTTGTTAATTATGATAATATACAAGACAAATACTTTGAAACTAATATAACGATTTAAAATAATAAAATTTTATTAATGTTCTATATTTATTTATAGCTGAAAAAATTGAACCTTCTGAAGCAAACCAATTTATATAATATCAGCATTTGAAACTTCTAAGGAACAAGAAATTTCTATTTTCACAACACATAAAATTCTAGTAATATATGAAATTCAAGTTTCTGTATTACAAGAAATTCAAGTTCTTGCTACACAAGAAATTACTGTTTCTGCAGTGCAAGAAATTACAACTTCTGAAGAACAAGCTCCTGCAATACAAAAAGATACCTTAATTATTTCATTAAAAAAGTCTCAAGCTATTGTGACTTCAATTTCTACTCAATTACAAAAACAAAATAATAGAACTTCAAGGATTTCTAATTCTTATACTTAAATTAAATGGCACCTTTTAAACTTTTATATGATTCTAATTCTCCTTTATTTGCTTCTTATAGAAAATGTCAAAAACCTTTATTGCCAGTTAATAATATTATTATTTAGCTTCTTCTTAGCAGCTCTTTACAAAGCTATGACTTAAATATAAATTTAAAATTAATTAGAATTTTTAAATGTAATGATTTTTAGCATTTATTGAAAATTCACAAATACTTAGCTCTGTATGTTTAATGCATTTAATAAAGTGAACAAAATTTGCTTATATTAATATAATGAAGATGAAAATTGAGTTATTATATAATTAGAAAGTGATTATATAATATATACAAAAAACATCAAGTATATATATAGGACATGTTAAATAAATTAGGTTATTGATATACAATTATGATTAAAAATGACAATTTTAATCCCTATTGTTAATTGAAACAGCTCAAATAAATATCTGAGTTAAATAAATTATTTTTTTTTTTTTTTTTTTAAGGTGAGGTTTTGCTTTTATCTTTATTAATATTTTGTATTGAGAATCCACTATGGGTTTCTTTGGCCAGAGCTAATTTACAAAAATTTTTACAAGAATGAGACTCAGACTACCAGAAACTATCTAAATTAAAAATTCTGATTCATCTGCAACCTAAACCTACTAGAGTGGTTAAAACTCACCTAGATTTGATAGTATAAAATATTGTT